ATTTCCCTTCTGGACTACAAGTCCCAGAATCTTATGGTCAGCGTGACCATTGTCATGCTGTCCATAGGAGAACTGCTGGATAGCTCTGCAGTTAAAGTACCTGGCGGTAGAACCAGAGTTTTAAATTACCTGGCGGTAGAACCAGTGTTCCCCACTGTACCCAGGACTACAAGTCCCAGAATCTTATGGTCAGTGTGACCATTGTCATGTTGTCCATAGGAGAACTGCTGGATAGCTCAGCAGTTAAAGTACCTGGTGGTAGAACCAGAGTTTGGGACTTCCGTTCCCCACTGTACCCACTGGACCCGATGATCCATAGAGTCCTTTCCAGCCCTGCAGTTCTAAAATGATGGTGATTCTTTGAACTGTAGCCCATAAAAGGACTCCTTTCCCATCTTTGTATGATAGCCACTGCCAGGGCTAGCATAAGAAATGTTATTGTTTGAGAAAAGAATAAGATGGCACCTCTCCCCAGTTCTACTTGCAGAGGCTAGCTGGAGTTCCAGTTAAATACTGACAATGAAACAGTGTCCCCTATCACATCAGAAGGCAACAAGCCAGTTTTCGAGAACAGAACAGGCTGTGTGACACACATCGTTCTAAGACAGAAGCAACAACCAAGAGACTGTTTATTGTCTTGAAAAAGTTACTTTAAAAACTGGCTAAGGAATTCCAAAAACTACCCAGAGGGCTGCTGTTGCTACCCCCTATCTAAGTATTACTTCTTTCTGCCAATGGCCTCCTACAGCACAGGGAGATGGCATATGTCCAGGCAAGCAAACACACGCTGGCATCTTTCCATTTCTTTCCAGTGACCTTCAACCTGGCTACCCGTTCAGCTTCTCATCCCGCTTCTCTTTGTTTTCAGCCAAAGGGGAGGCAGACTGAACAGCAGGAGTCTCTCTTGGGTCACTTCTGTCCTGGCTCACATCACTTGCCCGCCCCCCTAACATTCAGATCATGTTTTTGTGGCTTCTTGCAGGAGTGCCCTTTCAGGTTTAACTGGAGCCAGCAAAGAAGACTTTCAGCACTTTTCAAAAAGGATTTTAAAGATTAAATCTTGGATCTATTCAGCCTGTACGTGAAAGAGAGGATGTACACGTATGTGATGGAAACACACACAGTATTTTCATAGCATGTCTCATGGCTTAACCTTTTTGCACTTCGAAGTAACCACAGTGTGGCTAGCAATGCATGGCCAAGACAAAAGAGAGAAAAATGGCCTCCCGCATCCCTCCATCCAGAAAAGAAATGTGTGCCTTTGGCATGCGTTGGAGAGAAGCCTCGTTTCTTATTTCCTCCAGCTCCTGCCTCAAAAGCCAGCTCTTCTGTGAACCCTTTGGCAGAACCTTGTATTTCTTATCTCCTCAACCTGTTGCCTTTCAGATGTTTTAGATTCTAATTCCCATCTGCTTCAGCTAGAGTAGCCAATAGTCAGTGATGATGGAAATCAGAGTTCATAAATCGTGTGTGTGTGTGTGTGTGTGTGTGTGTGTGTGTGAGAGAGAGAGAGAGAGAGAGAGAGAGAGAGAGATGTGCTGTCAAGTCACTCCAGACCCTAACACGGTTTGTTTGTTTTTTAGGCATAAGAGATGTTCAAGGAGCAATTTATCGGTGCCAGACTCACCCACCCACCCCATAGGTTTCCATGGCTCAGTAAGAATTCGAACCCTGAACTCCTGAGTTCTAGTCCAGCACTCTGTGATGGAAGGCTGAGTCAACCTTGAGCCGGCTACCTGGGATTTGAACCCCAGGTCGTGAGCACAGTTTTAGCTGCAGTACAGCGTTTTAACCACTGCGCCACGAGGCTCTATACCCACGAGGCTCTATACCCACGAGGCTCTATGTTTTTCAGGCATAAGAGATGTTCAATGAGCAATTTATCGGTGCCACACTCACCCACCCACCCCATAGGTTTCCATGGCTCAGTAAGAATTCGAACCCCGATCTCCTGAGTTCTAGTCCAGCACTCTGTCTGTTACACCACATTGGCTCCGTCCGTGTTAAGGAAGGATAATTTATAGCAGCAGGTATTGAGGGTGAAGGAGGAATGACTAATAGTCAAAGACGCAAGTGCTTCTGGGAGGAAAGAAATTGTTCGTTCACTAGGGAAATTACAACACTGTCCTTGGTTTTCCAGAGGTTAACCTACACGGATAAAATCAGTGAAAACTCATGAAAGGGGTTTATAGTATGAAAATATTTTTTTTCAGGGGCTGCTGCTCTTTTTACTTTGCAGAAGGCTTCTGTGAGTGTTAGAGGAGAGGGCAGAGAAAGGAGGCCAAATTCTCTGGGACTTTTCCAATCTGGGCTCGTGCTCATAGGTTGGGTTATAATGCCCATCATCTCCATTTGGTGCTGGCTGAGGATAATGGAGAATGTATTCCACCACCCACCAACCCACCCTGAAGGTCAGATTGAATGGAATGCTGTAGACCAGTGGTTCCCAAACTTGGCCCCCAGATGTTCTAGGACTACAAATCCC